GACGCTACAACCCGTAAGATAATCGTCTTCAACGATAAAATTTACGACAAAAATTTTATTTAGTAAGGTACAGATCTAGACTTTGGTTAAGTTTTTAATTTTCTCAAAGACGGAAGTTATTCTGATTTGTATTACAGTTAACTTCAGATTGTAAGTTAATTGTGCTAAATGAATCCCCCCAAAAGGGGACATATTGTGTTTTAAATGCAGCAATGACCTATTTATAACGAGAATTAAACATGTTTGTGGACCCAATTTCTATTAAGCCAGTAATATTAAAAGTAAATTTAATTTAAAACTGTCTTTTGGATGCATTGTTTTGTATCTTGCCGTTAGTATTGACTTACATCGAGTATGTCCTTCGATAACCTTTCTGCTCGTCCCCAGTCTCCGAAAAGGACAGCTGGCGAACCCGAGTCTGGAACTGTAACATAAGGCGTTAATAAGGACGCTGATAGTTATTAATCAGGCCTCAGTACATACAAGCGTCTGGAGAATGTTTCATAGTGGTAATTTATTTACACGTAGAAAAGAGTTGACAATGGAAACCTGAAGAAAATTACGTGACCATTAAAACTCGCCCTAAACACGATATTTTTAATTGTATAGCTAGCTAACTTACTTATGAATTTGTTGATTAATTAATTAGTTAATTAACTGACTATGTGAACCGTCAAATCGAAGCAGCAGTGTTGTTATTGAGAAATTTATAGTCACTTAGCTAATAAAGAAATTCCCAGTATTCTATGAAGAACGAAGGATCATTAACGAGTTTACAAGAGCCTGCATTATATTCATAAAGAATTCATTCGTACCTCGAGTGGCAAAACACGTGGTTTAAAAGCGTTACAAATTCAAAGTAACGGTAGGTAATGGGAGCGGATTGGGGTATTCGCGGTCTCTGTCTAAAAGTACCAGTTACCCTTGAATTTCACCCGTCATTCGTCTTGCAGCTTCTCTGTCTGTTTCTAAACGTCCTCGAAATCTTGTAGTTTTAAATACGAGATTAAGAAGAAAGCTGAGACAAATCAATTGACTTCACATGAAATGATGGAGTTTTGAGGAAAATATAAGTATTATTTTCCTTGTATCGATGTTTCCAGCTTCAAGATTTAGACATTTGAAGTATTAACAAAGAGGACAGTTGATACGCTGCCCTACCTAAGAGGAAAGTCAGTACTTACTGAAGGAGGCCTCGGTGTACAGGATGAATTTGTCTGGAAACAAATCGTGGAGTTTCGTAAGACGAGACGCCGGGTACTGGTCGTCGAAGTACCAATGGACGGCCGTGCCGCTGACGAATTTAGAAGCCGCCGGGTTGTCCAGTACCTGCAAAAAAACACCTGCATATTTACCACCACTGTCCATTCCTCAGGCTTCGCTTTCTCCTTTCCTATTAAAGCTGACCTGTTGATATTCTCATAATTTAAACACAAAATGCGTCATGCGATGACCGCTTTAAAATGAAGGTCTCCGAAGGTCTTCACTTAAGAGTAGAAGGCAAGATATTTATAATTTCCTGGGCTTCATCCTATGAAACCTTGTACGTACAAGACGGAGAATAAAAATAAGAGAATAAAGGGAAAGTGAAGAAGATTAAGAACTAAAGAAAGTGAGACACAAAGGAGGAATAAGGAAAGAGCGGGAGATAAAACAGGAGCGAGAAAAACGGGAGGCAAGCACAAGATGCAGAAAAACAGTAATTTGTATACCTGGTTCTTGATAATTCAAGAAATGTGAAGTTTTAAAACCCCGAATTACAGGCCATATAGAGGGAAATTAGTAGAAGTTACACGACTGCTTCCTCAGAAAAGCCGCTCATCGCCATTATTAATCGTTGTGTTATTTCCCATTAGACGCTACGTAACCTGCCGGTGTATGTACTCACCACTTGAGCAGATTCGGGAAGAAATGTTCTCTGGTCGTCACCAGCCATGATGACAATGTTGCCAAAGTTGTTTTTCTGAAGTGTGGGGCCCAAGTTATTGGCGATGAAGTTACGCTGTTCTTCGGGGGAATACCCGCAGCTGTTAATACCGAAGTAAACGTAGTATCCGTTTCCGGGCTCATTTTGAAGGGTCAGACCCCAAAAATTTATGCCTTCCTTCTGGTAGGCATTCAAGAAACTGTAATAAGAAAGAACGTAAAAATTAAAAAAATGTTGCAGGTTTTTGATAAACTTCCTATGACAAAATTATGGCCTTTTAAGTTAAGTAGAATTTGAGGTTCTCATGGCTGTGAGTACAAAGATGGCTTGCCCTGATGCTGGGGTCGGCAGGGACCTACGAAATGTTGATGAACTTCTACAAGAATACACGGCGCTTCAACCCAGATGACAGCCGTCTTCATGTTTCGTATTCTTAATATATGATTTTGATGTAAACTAAAACTGCTTTAGAAGATGGGTGTTTTCTGGGACGTTTTATTTGTGTATTGTTCCCTTAACAACGCTTTCAGTTTATCAGACTACGTAGCAACGAATGAGGGATGGCAGTGAATAATGAATTGCAAAGGATGAAAAATCCCTGTCAGCATAGCCGGTCTCCGGGCCGAGATTTGAATCCGGGACCTCTTGACTACAACTATTGCGTCGTATGGTCTGGTAGATATTGACCGACGTTTCAAAGGTGAATAACCCTGATGATGGAAGTAGTAAGCTCCTCTGAAACCTCGGTCAATATCGTATAAGACCATACGACGAAATATCCCAGAAAACAGTTATCTTCGTACTCGTTTCTGTGAGAATCTCAAATGTTACGATCGCTTCTTTCGAAATGAAATTTCTCATCACAGGCTAACTTACTGAGATTCGTGGCTTTCGTTTAAATAATTTTTACATGTGTAACAGAACACAAGAAAGTTTGATGCAGTGTGGCATCTGCAGTATGGTTAGCTTTTCAGCAGAAAATTTGCATCTGCAATAAATGTACACAAAGGCCAAGGAGAATAGCAAAGAACACATGTGGAAAGTTTTGGAGTTAGTAGGCTTACATACCCCCGCTATGGGCCAAATAATCGCCTGCAAGGTTATGTCTAGACTATACGCCCAACAGCAGAGGCGGAGAAGTTGCCGCACTCTCGCGGCGATCTGTTATTGATAGATAACTTATTTTTTGATTACATAATTTATTACTTGATATAAAACACCTTTGTGTAACATATTAAATCCAAGTGATAATAGAAAAATTTATTATAAGTTATAATGCAGTGTTCTTCCATATTTTCAGTGTATACTGTTAGATTAATATATCACTTTATATTAGTCAGAGAGTATCTTATGTATCAAGTGATTGTTTTAAATAGGAACAGATGACAGCAGTGCGTTTGGAAGGAAACTGGCTTCAATCACTGTGGAAATCTTTTCACTTTTAATTGGTTTTATAAATAAGCTCTTATAAATTTATACCTTTAATAATATTGCAAAGATAATGTTGTAGTCAACTTTATTTCAATTTAACACAAGTAAGGAAAATTTCCGTTAGCTCTGACGGCTCTTACTATGCCAGTAAAGCCATCCCTTTACGCGCCATGTAGACGCTTAGGGGGGAGGTGTATAGCATCTACTCATTTTCAACCTCGACACTAGATGGCAGTGAGTATAATATGCTAGTGCAGATCATAATAATAAAGTTTACCACACTTACTTGACAAAATATTCAGCGTACACCTGGTAATAAATGTCCTTGAGTCGTGTAAACCCCTCAGTGCCATTTCTTCCTTCTATCATCCACTCCGGTGGTGACCAAGGAACAGTTACCACCCTGGGGTTAGACAGCTGTTTGATGTATTTCAGATAAGGGAGCTGCACATTTAAAAATGAACTGTCGTTATTATTTATTAAAAAAAACTTTCTTCTACCATGCCATACCGCCACGGTGGTCTAGCGGTCAGAACACTAGCCTTGTAAGCCTGGGGTCCCGGGTTTAATTCCCGGTGGTGCTCAAATTTATAACTTGTGTTGGGCAAGGCCGTGGTCTAGGCAACACGGAGTTTTCCTCCGGGGGCTTCCCCGGTTTCTCCGTGGCATCCCAACAATTACTCCACTCACACACAGAAGAAGGCAATGGCAAACCACTTCTG